CTCTCCGAACCACCTTCTCCAACCTGGTGCCCTTCTGATGCGGGGCCCAGGGAGTTGAAGTCCACCCATCTTAAAGCTTCCCAGTTCGAGAAACACTGCGCTCAATGATTTCCCAACTTGCATTTTTTCACATACGCTGGGACTTCAACTCCCTGGGCCCCGCATCAGAAGGGCACCAGGTTGGAGAAGGTGGTTCGGAGAGACCCCGTTTCCTTTGCTGATTCCTCAAAGGCCCCCAGGTACAGAGGGCTGGTCCCAGGGCTGTAGTCTTAACCTCCTTGGAGATACCAGATGAGGGAAAAGGGCTGTCAAGGAGGGCTATCCAGGAGCAAGTCTCGGTTGGATCCCCCTTCCTCCTCCCAACAGATCAACGGATAGATTGATAGACAGACCACGAGTTCGACATGAGCTCACCTCCATCAAGGCATCTGGGAGACGCTGGAGAAACTGCTTCCCCCATCCGCTGACAATGACCATGGCGTCTGGGGGGAGGCAAAGAGACGGGTGTGATATCGGCATTTGGGAATGGTCTCGGCTGACCTTTGCTTCCCTCCGATACCCAGATCGGATAGTTATGGAGCGACCTTCTCTTCCCCCTCGTCGAAACGTCGGGAACCCTCGGGGGTAGGTTTTCCCAACGGGGTGTCAGCCCCGCGAGGTGGGCCAGGTCGGGAAACAAGTCCTGCAAGGATTGCAGGAATGCCGTTTTACTGTTACAGGGTATCGTAACAGAAACCAGGACGCCTTCCGCCGAACCTTCACGAATGTCACCGCTGGCGGGTTGAAAACAAGAGGACGGGGACGCGCAGGAGTGCTCGGCTCTACAGGAACTGGGCAAGTCAGCCCAGAAGTAACCTGCTAAAGGTGGCCTTCCTTAATCAGGCCCAGCTATTCCCAGGTGGGGCGGCGACTGCTGATATCTCAGGAGCAGCGCTGGCTTGGCGAGGTTGATGGCAGATTGCTGATCTGGGGAGGCTTCAACCCTCTCGCTAGACTTTTCCTCGAGATCTGGCATGCATGTCTTCTCTCGCGCGCTCTGCACCTGGGGCTCTCGGTGCCCATTCGTCCGCTGATGTGCGCGTGACGTGCCTTGGACTGCGTTTACAGTTGCAATAACCGGACAGGGCATTTGCAAGGGTTAGGCCAGCGTTTCTCGAACTGGGCAGCTTTAAGAGGTGTGGACCTCAACTCCCAGAACCCCCCAGCCGGCCGGGCTACCCCGTCCCCACCTTTCTGCTGAGACCCATCCGGAAGGCAAATGGGCAGCACGTAGTCGTTCAGGGTCGCTTCTTCTGACAGCTCCACCACTGCAATGTCGTACTCAAACGTGGCGGCCTTGTAGGACGGGTGGACGTGGATCCTCCGGGGCTGCAGTGCCTGCTCCGTGTCGTCTCGCCTCTGAGTTCGGTGCTTCCCTGTCGAGGGACGGGGAGGGAGGGAGGAGGTGGCGGAAGAAGAGAGCGCGCTGCTCGTTTATTCAGAAAACGGAGACGTCGCCCACGCCCTTCTCAGCCTTCGGAGTCACGTAAGGGCTTGATATAATTCGGAACTACCTTTGGATTCTACCTCACAGCCAGGGTCTGCATCTGACTGGCCTCGACTGATCGTGAAGAAGCTAAGCAGGATCAGGCCTGGCTGATATTGGATATTTTTTTAACAAAGGAGTTCACTGGTGGAACAGTGAAGGGATGGGCCTGTCTTTTTATATTTGTTTGTACAAGGACAAGGATGAAAAGGGAACTGGTGGGTCTGTCCTTGGTTTTTACAGTGTACCACAATCTCCCCTTTCTTTTAACTAACTGAAATTGACAAACGCTCTGCCACTTTCCTCTTCCTCGCTGGAAGCAAAGGATATGGTAAAACTGTGTCCCTCCCTCCTTCCCTTCCCTTCCTCTCCTCTCTTCTTTTTCTCCTTCCTTCCTTCCTTCCTTCCTTCCTTCCTTCCTTCCTTCCTTCCTTCCTTCCTTCCTTCCTTCCTTCCTTCCTTCCTTCCTTCCTT